CTCGTGCCGTCCCCGCCGCCGCCACCGTGGCTGTGGCTGCTGCTGCTGGCGGCCGTGGGGCCGGCGCGCGGCTGGGAGAGCGGAGACCTGGAGTTGTTTGACTTGGTGGAGGAGGTGCAGCTCAACTTCTACCAGTTCCTCGGGGTGCAGCAGGTAAGCGTGGAAACGCGCGGGTCCGGGCGGAAAAGGGGGAAGTGGCGGGCGTTGACCCCGTTTTCTCCGAGGGAGCCAGGCACGGAGGGCAGGACCTGGTCACTCCGCGCTCTGGCGGCCCTCCTGGCCCGGTCCGCCAAGGTCTTCTCATAACCCCAGCCTCGGAAGAACTTGTCCGCCTTCCCCAGTCCCTCACCCCTGCTGCAACTTCTCAGGTTCCGGTCTCAGTGGCTGTCTGGAAGGTGCCACCGGCCAGGGGTCTCTTTGTTCTGGCAATCTGGGGAAGACCCCCGCACTCCCACCCCAACCCCCAGCTATGCTGGAGGAAGAAGGAAGAGTGGAGGTGTTTTTGTTTGTTTGTTTTGTTTTTTTCTTCACACCTACCCTTTCCTTTCCTGCCCTCCTGAATGGGAGGAGTAGCCATGTCTCACCCCAAATTGTCATCTTCCCACTTAAACTAATCCTTATTCTTATTTCAGCTGCCTCCTTTCTCCTTCCTTTCTGAGACGATAGGAATGCAATTTGGGTCAGTGTCTGTGCTGCAGAAGTTTTTCTTGCATTGTACTTTGTGATCTTTTTAGCCTGTTAGATAGGGGTTTGTGTCTCAGTTGAGAAATCTGGAGGAATTTGAGGCCTCTACCAGGTTGGTCCCGGAACTCATAGGAGGAGTTAAGCTTTGGGGCAGTAGAGGTACTTGGGGTACTTTGGAAAAGAAGCCCAACTAGTAGCACAGGATCAGTTTCTTTTCTTTTTTTTCTTTTGTTTCCTGTTTTAGCTTCTAGAGTTAACCTGTAAAATCCGTTTGTTGCCTTTTATTTCAACCATTGAGAGAGGTTGAGTGAGGATAGATATCCAGTCCCTACCTGAAGCCCCGTGCCAAGGAGGAGGACATTTCACTGATTTCGGGATTATGGAGAAAGACTTAGAATTTCACACTATCTGATTGAGCTCTTCATACGGTGCTTTAATAGTTACGCGTGTAAAAAAGAAATTAAGGTTTGCCAACAGTTGTCATTCAAGGCACACTTCACTTGACTAGATATGTAATTGCACATTTCCCTCCCATAAGTTATAAATTTGGGTGAACTGTTGAACTTATGCTAAGTAGAAATTTAACTTTCCAACAGTGTATTTTCATTACTTCCATTATACAGTGTAAAATTGCTAGGTTTCCATGGCACCATAGGTTTAACAATTTTTATTTTTGTAAGAGTTATATAGTGTAAGCATTTCACACTTCAAATTCTTATGTGCGAACAGTTTTGTAATAACTATGTTTATGATCTGTCACCTGGTGCCACTTCCTGCTTATAGAGAGAAAATATGCCTCATTTTCAAAGTAAATGATGACGTAAATGTATAAAAATAATTCGTAAGATTATAATTCTGAAGACTAACTTTTAAGAATGCCTTTAATATCAGGAATAATTGTTTAGAATTTATTATGATCGATTAAATTCTGTAGCTAGACAGAGTCTTACACGTAACCTATCCAAAGACCTTGAAGATGCTTCCCAGTTTTCATGGAAAATTAGGCCGCTTTAAAAGAATACAGAAATTATTAGCAGTAGTTTAAAATTTAGATTATGTAATCTAGCTTTGCATGTGAACTCTCATACAATTTTCATTTATAATTTCATGCAACTTAATTTGCAGAATTAAAAAAAAAACTGTGAACAGCCAGAGCACTTAACTATATGGTCAAAGATGGGGAAATAAAGAAGCATCGATAATTGAGAAGATTCTTTGTTGAGGAAGAATTTGAAAAGAAGGATCCAGAAAATTGTTTTAATGTGTGTTTCTCTATCCAGCTGTGTTGAAATTGGAAAGAATGCCAGAAGGAATTATATTCTATCTAAGCAGAGAAACTGATTGGAACAAGTTCTTTATGTTGAATCTTAACTTTCTTGAAAGACTTTCAGGTGACCAGAAATTTGGTAGAGACAAATACAGCCTGTCTGAGGTCTTTAATGCATAATTTTCAAGCCAGAGCCAAGCAATCTTTTGGTGACTAGCCAAACATGAAAGACCAGAACAAAGAAGTTAGGCTACTCAAAAGTGGTGACCTGGCTCTATGTACTAAGCAGTTTTTTTGTTGTTGTTCATTCAACAGAGATTTATTTTGTGCCTACTAGATTTTAAGCATTGGGAGTTGGCTTTTATATAAAACAAAACCCCAGCCTCGTGAAACTTATAGTTTGGTAGGGGGAAACAACTAGTGAACAATCAAACAAGTAAATATTAATATCAGATGGTCAGAGAAGACCTCTGAAGGAACTTAGGGAGAGAGCCATGTGGATAATTGACGTATCTTAGTCTGTTTGAGCTGCATAACAAAATACCATAAACTGGATAGCTTTTCAACAACAGAAATTTATTTCTCGCAGTTCTGGAGGCTGCTGGGAAGTCTAAGATTAAGGTACCAACAGATTCTGTGTCTGGTGAGGGCCTTTGGATTCATAAATGGCACCTTCTTGCTGTGTCCTCACATGGTGTAGGGGGCAAGGCAGCTCTCTGGGACTTTTCTTATAATGGGCGCTAATCCCATTCATAAGGGCTCCACTCTTATGACTTAAATCACCTCCCAAAGGCCCCACCTTAAAATACTATCATATTGGGGATTAGGTTTAGACATGAATTTTGCAGGGACACAGACATTCAGACTGTAGCATGGTTGAAGAGCATTCAAGGAAGAGTAGACAGTAAGTGCAGAGGCCTTGAGGCAGGAGCTTGTTTAGTGTTTGAGGACTAGCAAGTCAGCCAGTGTGGCTGGAGCAGAGTGATCAAGGAGAACAGTAATAGGAGATGAGACCAGAGCCATAGGGGGTTAAGGGAAGATCATGCAGGGCTTTGTAAACCATTATAATGACTTTGGCTTTTACTTATAAGTTGGGGATCCACTGGGATGAGGGGGAAGTTGAACAGAAGAGATACATGATTTGACTTAAGTTTCAAAATAGTCCCTTTATTGTGTTAAGGATAGTCTGTAAGGCATTAGTTACTTAGAGGAATAATTGTAGTGCATAGTGTAGAATGGACCTGGCTGGTAGCAATAGAGGTGGTGCAAAGTGGTCAGATTCTGGATTTAATTTGATCATAGAGTTGACAGGTTTGAGTGTGGGATGGAGAGAAAAAGAGAAGTTGAATGTAATTCTAAAGATTTTTTTTTTTGTCTTTTTTCGTGTCCGAAGGGGCCCGGGACCGGCAACGGGATCGCAACCCTTGGCGCTGCGCCCGCCCCTTGCTCAGCCAGTGAGCGGGAACCCGCACCTCGCTCAGCCAGTGAGCGGGAACCGGTCTGTATGTGGGATCCAAACCCTCGGCGGGAGCGCCGCCGCGCTTCCCAAGCAGCGCACTGTAGCAGTGCGCCACCGGGCCGGCCTACACAATGTTTAATGTAGTGTGGTAGTATAGTGTAGAGGAGGTTACGTGAGCATATTTTATGGGAAAAAGCAAGTCTACTGTGAAAATTTTGCCACATGTAATCTAGACCTGATAGAACAGAAATCTTTAAGTTGTAAGTTTCCTTTTATGCTATGGACGTTACGTGAGCATATTTTATGGGAAAAAGCAAGTCTATTGTGAAAATTTTGCCACATGTAATCTAGACATGATAGAACAGAAATCTTTAAATTGTAAGTTTCCTTTTATGCTATTCTGAGGGGTTTTTTTTTAATGCTAATTATGAAAACACTCTTACAGTCTTTTATCTTTTATTATTCATAGACTGATAGAACAGAAATCTTTAAGTTGTAAGTTTCCTTTTATGCTATTCTGAGGTTTTTTTTTTTAATGCTAATTATGAAAACACTCTTACAGTCTTTTATCTTTTATTATTCATAGAAAACTGCCTAACTTGAGCTAGGAAAGTCGAATTGGCTTCTGTTGTTACAACTCCTTCTAGAGATATATTCTAAAATCTTATTATATAGGTCATCATTTTACCTAGCGATTGCCCTAATGTAGTGAATTTCAAAATCGTGTTTGGTTCAGTGTCATGAATGAAATAGAGGGTAGGGTAGTGGTAAGGTTAAATATTAGACTTGGTGACTGCTGAGAGGAGAATTTATGTGGCAGTTACAAGTAGCACTAATACAAATAGTTTAATAAAATGCCTAGTGTCTATATTAAGCCTGTTCTCAACTTTGTTATGTTTTCTATCAGTGAACTGCTTATTCCATAAACTGCTACTATATGGTTTTAGGAATCTTTTTCTAAGTCCATCGTTATTGGATCTATTTGGACAATAATGATACCAACTAATTCCATCCATAATTAAAACAATTCCAAAGCCTTTCTTGCATAGAGTTGAACAGAGATAAAGGAAAGGAGTTGCAGTGAAAAGAGAGGCTTCTGATTGGGGGAAGCAGGATCCTAGATCATTTTATAATGAAGCTATAGTCATATATATTTTCAAAAACCTTTATTTTCATCAAAACTGTGAAAGATAGGTCCTATACTAATGAATATAAAAATATGATTGCTACATTGTAAATAATACAGTAATAGGTATTCCATCTTAAGAGCTAAATATTTGGGTTTTGAGATATTACTTATATTTACTGAAATTTTTTGACTAAGAGAGTCATTAGGACTTAATTAAAGTTTTAATCTAGAATTTCATTCCCATCCTATATAATACTAAATTAAGTAAGATTAGCGTTCATTCACTTATTCAGTAAGTGTTTCTGATTACTATCATCTTGCACTGGAATCTCATATATAGTAAGGCATATTACAGAAGCAAGGACATGCCACATTTTCTATTTCTGGTTAGGGAGAAAATGTGTATGAAACAATATGCTTCATTATTAAATGGATGACCATTTTATTGCTAGTAAGACATAAGCTCTTTGCAGTCAGCTAATAGACTTTGAGTTGTTTAATATTAAAGCTAAGAGTCTAAGATCAAGAATTAAATAAAGGACATGTCATAGTATAAGCAGCAGTATTAAATGGAAAAGAAGCAGTATTATATATAATGCCACCGAAAGCAAACA